TACCTAATTGTAATATGTTCCATATTAACTAATAAAGATTTACAGCGTATAAGCAATTTACAAACAAAAAAAAAAAATATTACATCTATAGATTTTTACCTCCCTAAATGCAATACCTCTCTAAATATACATACAAGAGCTAGTCCCAACAATGTGCATTTAGAGAGATTTGACTGTAATACTTAAAAGCGATCATTAGTGTTTGGTGCTATACAAAATTGCTTATTTGGGTAATTATGGCTATATTTGAAAAAATTATCTATTAGCTAATTTTTATTAATTAGTGATTTTACTAATTACTAAATATTTATTTATTTAATATTTAAAAGTGATCATTAGTGTTTGGTACTATACAAAATTGCTTATTTGGATAATTATAGCTATATTGAAATTTGTTTTAGGTAATTAATCTACTACAAATTTGCTTTCTTTAGTAATTTTGAATTTCACAAATTTTAACAAATTGTATAAAATACTCTCTCTATCTTTATAGCGCTATCTAATGCTCAATAGCTGTGCATTGAAACGCTATGCTACATATTGAGTATTAGCATTCAAAAATTTCACTTATCGAACAGCAGTCATATATATATATAATAATACCAAATAGAGATTAAAAAGAAAATCTATTATTTAAAACTGCATTAAAAAAAATTTTTATTACATACATATCTATTTACTAAAACAGAAAATAATCATTTAACTTTTTTAAGAAAATTGATTGTTAATACTATTTTTAATTTATTCTCATGCTCCTCAATTAATGCAAAGTGATAGTACATTACATAATTAAAAAAAGGGGAGCTACACAATGTGACTACCACAATTCATGAGTGGGCATAATGGGTGGGTTATCACAAACAATTCAACTTGCAAATGAAAATTACAGATAACCGCAGAAACAGTTATTTGAACATGGAAAGATTAATCTAAATAGAGGTAACAATAATAGCAGCACATGCTTGGTCTATAGAATCAGATGCTAAAAACAGTAAGTATTAATATATAATATATAAGTACAAGAAGTGATAAATCTAAATTCTTCTGGCAATGAAAGAAATTCTCATATAAAAAACATGTCTAACAAAAATAACAAAATAGTCTATATAGATGCTAAAACCAAAGCATAAATTAACAATGTATGCAAAAAAACCATATCAATTATTATAAATAAAGTGAGAGAATTGATAAATCAACAGGTGAAAAATCAAAGAAGTTGGAACGAGCAACTACAAAAACTGCAAAGCACAATGGATAACCATTTCAATTAGCTAGAACAAGTCAATTGAAAAAAATGCAACAAGACAATCCAAAGATATCCAGACAACAGATGATAGCTAAGCACCCAATACATCAACAATTAAAGTAAGCTCGACAACAGAAGCAAGAGAAGATATGAAGAGTTTAGTGAAAAAAATTTAGAAAAATGAGGTAATTTTATTATTTTTAAATAGTGTTAATATAATTATACCCATAGAGTACATTAAATTTTTTTGTACCCATATAATATATTCAAAGAATAGCTTTTCAAATATTTTAGTAGTGAGTCAGCAAATAGGCAACATAAAACCTTACATGAAAACTTTAAGATCTAGCAAGTACAATAATTGGAAATACAAAAAATTATTAGTTGGCAAAAAATACATTTGCAATATGTGATCTTAAAACACAACTTGTTAAATTTGACTTAAGCCTATTTGTATTCATTGGGTCTTGATAAGTTTTAGAATTGAATAGTATTCTTCAATGCTCATAAGAATTTAAAAAGCATATATTATGCTCCACAAGTAGGTAATATTAAATGCAATTGCTAAAATGCATGAGAAAGTTGCTATCACACTAATCATATATTTAAAACTTTGTGTCAGCTTTTAAATTTAATTAATTTGCAATGCAATGAGTTATGAATAAATCCTATCTTAAGGTGATATAAATTCCAAAACAATGTGCTCAATAAATTAATTTGGAATTTTTTAATGGCTTGGGATAATTTTAGAATTCTGTTGCAATATATATATATATTTGGAATCAATTCTAAGTGGATTCTTGATCTACAATAATTCTTTCCGAAGTAAGACATATATTCAGTGTTTGGCAATATGGACATTTGGACTTATTAAAAATAATATGGACATTTGGACTTATTAAAATAATATGGACAAATATGGACATAGTAATTTATGGACATGGACATATAGGTTTGGGCATAGTCCAAATTTTTTAAAAAATATGGACATATACCAAGTGCAAACCACTGCATATATTAGAGATGTGCGAATGCAAGTTTTTTTGGCTTTGCATCACAGCAGCATTATGTCGCATGCATTATGCAATTCTGTATAATATATTATTACTGAGAGGTTATTGGATTTGAAAATATAAAATATTAGATGGAACACTGCCTGCATAACCTGATTCATGACGATAGTCATGCTAAAGTTACTATCACGAGGATCATCACCTGCTGACCCAAAGATGTAATTATGATTCAAGTTGCTATTTAAAGCTAGAAGGAGGTTTAAGGAGAAATTAGATAAGCTTTTAAGGAAGGGTGGGAATAGGGATAATCGATAGTGCTTTTTTCTTTTGCTGCCTGACTTTAGTCTGGCTCCCCCGGGCCCAACCCAAAAAAAAAAAAAGAGTAATAAAAGTAATTCGGAATGAGAAGTAAGGAGTAGCTTGGGGACATACTTACCGACTTGTAGAGGCTTGCTCAGTAACCTGCTCCCTGACTCTCATGTGTAAAGAAGTAAAAAGTAATTCAGAATAGGAAGGAAGGAGTAGCTGATTATCGACTTGTAGAGGCTTGCTTGGTAACCTGCTCCCTGACTCTCATATGTAAAGAAGTAAAAAAAAAAAAAAAAAAAGTAAATTGGAATGAGTAGGAATGAGTAGCTTGGGGACCTGCTTGCTGACTTGTGGAGGCTTGCTCGGTGACCTCTCATGCATAAGAAGTAAAAAAAAAAAAGAAAGAGACGTTTTCTTTCTTTTTATCGCGGTATATCATGCACATACTATTTTCGTCACGTGTTCGTGGCACCAAATGTATATATATTAAATTAGAGAATTTATTGGGGCATGTAGAGTAGAGTCGCAGTGTGGTACTACTCCCATAGTGTAAATTAAATAAGTGATCCGAGCGAGAATAATAATGCATACGGTACATCTCTAACATATATGCATTAAAGTTGTCTTATTTTTCATTCAATGAAGCTTAAAAAATAACATACGTTAATTAACGATAACAAATTAAAAAATGATTGGAACATATAAATTGAGCCATAATTAATACTTTTATATTTTAGTATAATATCAAACTCCATTATTTAACGACGGGCTCAGTATCCAGTATTAAATAAAAACACAATAAAATCGAATTAATGTATTTAAATTAGTCGCAATAAACACAATTTGAATCTTAAGGCAGTCTGTTGATGCGATAGCAAATAGTTTATGTATTTCTCGCCTAATTTTATTCCACCATATGATGTTGAAATATCAGAGTAACACAAATATCATGCTCATACATCTCTATGACGTTTACTATGAAAATGAAATTTGTTGATATAAAACTTACTTTGTAGTATCGAACAAGGAAATTGATAGCAGGAATAGGATGCTAAAAAGCATTAAAATTTTTAACATAAGTACGTATCATAGCTTTTTTTAATACTATTTTTTTTCATATGCCAAGTAACAAACATATCACAAGCATGAGCAATTTGAACAACTCGATTTTGAATCTTATTTTGTTGATTACTTGACCAAGCTAATAACTTGTTATACTCATTATTCCTTCAATATTTTAAACAAAATTAAATTTCTCTCTAAAAAAATAAATTTTGAAAGAATTTATTTTATATTCATCGGCCTAAGAATTTTTAGAGTTAGGTGCAGTTTAAGATAAAGGGGATTTTATATAACATAATGTTGATTAGATATAAGGTCCTGGGGATTTTATATAACATAATGTTGATTAGATATAAGGTCCTGAAGATTTTTACTTAGACACCCTAACTTTAATTACTTAGTACGTTTTTTGAGATATAATGTAAAATTCAAATTTTACCACCCAGGGGAGTTATTTTGAAAATGGTCCGAATTAATCTTAATTCAACCAAAAACTTGAAATTACATCCCTGCACGTTATTTCGCGCTTTATGGATATATGAAAATAGAAACAGATACTTGATCTTGGATATCTTTAACAATTAAGGACTGATGAATGCGAATGAATATATGTATTTTTTTAAAATTTTTTTACTTATTTATTTTAATAACTAATAAATTCTGAAAAAATAAAAAATATTGCCATTGCCAAAACCCTTTCTTGTTGAAAAAAAACAATTCATATGAATTTTTAATAAATATAAATATATTCTTCGTCTTTGGTTTAAATTTATGTAATAGTTGTACAAGCATAAATTTACATTATTTTTGCCATATTCTGTTGATTATGTAATAAGCTTACTCTAAATTACGATACTTATAAGATATTGGTCATGCAACGATTAATATCATCGCATGATCCAATATCGATGTTATCGTGCAATTATGATCATGATTTTCAAGTCATTTTTGGCTAACTGGGTTTTAATTCGAGATTGTTGTGCTTATGTAATAACGTACAAAAAATAAAATCTATGATCATAAGAGTTTGTACGATAACAAGTTATTTATCCTTAAAATATGATCCATTTGGATTTTGAACCACAATATCTTCGTCTAGAGCAAGTAATACCGGTATTTTTGCGCCTTGATCTTTTGAAGATAAATATGTTAACACCAAAATCTTCTAGAGATAAACATAAAACGAAATACAATAGTGAGAATACATGCCAGGAGTGAGCGGCGCTCTTTCACCAGCCAGATCCGTTTTAACCTAGAAGCATAAAATTACAGTATTTTAAACTACCAAACGTTTATGGTTAAAACCATTGAAATTATTGTGCTTACCCAACCAGGATGACATGCGAATACTTTAATTCCATTACCCTCCTTGTCAGCGCGGTGAGCCAAAATTCTTGTCATTGTTGTTACTCCAAGTTTGGACGTACCATAAGCTTTAATCATAAATTTGATCATAGGGATTAATGAATGAATAATACCATTATATAAACGGAAACAAAATTTTCTTATTCCCAACTTATCATGATATTATTATCGCTAATTTATACCTTGACGGGGCCATCCTTCTTGCTTGTATGTACCTTTCTCAACGGCATTCTAATGAGGAAAAATAACTTATTATCAAAAGTATCGATTATTGATGGTTTTTTTAAACATTGAAAGCAAACCTCAAATCTCTTCATCAGTTCAATTAGCCCGTCCATATCTAAATTTTCATTAGAAAATTCTTGTCCCAAAGCTTTACTCACAATATGTAACTCTCCAGCTAAACTAGATACATTAACAATACGGCCATTCTTACGAATAAGAGGGTATAAATGATTGATTACGTTGAGTGTACCATAAAAATTTGTGGCAAATGTTGTACGAACAACGTTAATATCGAATGCATCCCCTTTGAATGCTGCATGAATTAAAAAAAGTTGCTAGTACAAAATCATATATTATTAAAATTTAAGTTACTCTTCTAATTAAATTTACCTATTGCCGCATTATTAATTAAGACGTCAAGTCCTTCAAAGATAATTGGTTAATGTATATTTACGATTACATCTTTTAGTTTTGTTTTTATAAATCTTTAGACATATTAATCATATAATAGATTATACCTTCGTAATCTTTCTCAATAACATCCTTAACATCTTTAATGCTTTGTTCATCAGTTATATCCAATCTCAAAAATTTCAAATCTACATTTCCACCATCATCTATTAAAACATTATTAGGTTTCAATTCTTCACGTAATTTATCAATTGAACTTTGTCCTAGCGTTGGATTTCGTGCTGTCAATAAAATTGTAAGAGGCTGTGAAGATGATTTAACATAGCTTAGGGCAAGGTTTCGTACGATTGCATAGCCGATTCCTTTATTCTTTTGTTAAAATTTTTAAAAAAAATTAATAATTTTTTTTATAAATTTTGTTTAAAATTGTGCAAGTTATATCGTACTTACCCCACCAGTTACTAAAATTACTTTAGTTACGTAGCTCATTTTCCGAGAATTTGAAAAAAAAAGAAGTCGCTCGAAATTGTTCACTTTTAATATAATGATTGTCGCAGATCATAATGAAATCGGATTAAAATGAAACTGGGGACCTTTCTTGCTCATCTTTAAAGCTTATAAAACCCACTTATACTCTTTTTTATCAATAAAACTAACTCTAAACCCTAACCGATTTCATTTTAATCTGCCACAATGATTAGTAATCATTTTATTTTCACGTGCCATGAGATTTGTAATGATTAGTAATCATTTTATTTACACGTGACCATGAGATTAGTAATCATTTTTATTTACACGTGACCATGAGAATTAGTTATATGCTTTAGAATTTAATAAAAAAAATGATATACCTGTTATTTTATTAATATTTTTAAGTATTGATTTTTTTTTTCAAAAGATAGGTAGCAGTGTTATTATTAATACTATTATAGCGATAATTACAAAATTATACTTAGCATTGAATCATTCAAATACATGAAATGTTTATTGGGAATCTTGATAAAAATTTCCGTAAAAGAATCATAACATGGAAAAGCTTGTGAAATCAAGAAAAAAATCTAAAATAATACCTTCAATAATTTCTTTGATTGCGTGAAGTGCGATATCTTCCTTTAAGTCCTTAGATTCATTAACTTTTTTGAATGCATAAAGTACAGTGTCTTCACTTAAGTCTTTAACTCCAGTGATTTTTTTAATTGCATAAAGTTGTGCAATTTCTTCAATTCCAGTCATTTTTTTAATTACAGGAAGTAAGTCTTGTAAAATTTCTTCGTCATCAATGCTTTTTACATATTTTTTAAGTTCATTAAAAGAAACTTCGTAATATCTGAATGTTTAAATTACATATTAGAATATATATGTCGTGCCTGAAGTTCTGAAGTTGCAACTTCAGGCGCCTGAAGTTGCACTTGACTGAAATTTGACAACCGCAATTTTTCTTGGTTTAATAACGGGATAAGGAAGGGTTATTTTACTAGCTAAAATTGACTTTTGGTTAGTCCAATTTAACTTTAGGCTAATTCGCTTGCTGCCATTGTTATTACCAAGCCGAAAAATCAAAATGTCAAACTTATTCGGACCAACTACCAACTAAGGCTAATGAACAACGAGATTAGCACAATTAAATTTTTCTAAATTTTTATTGTTTGCTAACCTGATAATTAGCAAAAGTAAAACTAGTAAGCGAGTCATAAACAGAACCTCCTCAAGTGGCATTTCAATAAACTAAACAATCGCGAAAAGTGGGACCAGCATACGCTTTGTTCGCTTGTAAGTAAGTAGCTAGAAACAAGACCAAAGAAATGGTTAAGATGATAGTTGGTATGAATTGTTCTGAGGAAAAAATGAAAGCAAAAAAACCTTAATTTTGAAGTGAAAAGGTTCGACCCCTGAAATTAGATAATCTTGCATGCATTAATTAGTAATTTTAGGTAATTTAGGCAATTTTAGGCAAGTGTAACTTCAGGCGCCTGAAGTTACAACTTCAGGCAAGTGTCAACTTCAGGCACGACATATATATAATTTTGCAACATAATTAAGTAAAATTTCAGGAAACCAGTTTTTCTTTCTTCTTTGATGAGTAACAACCAATGAAGTTCGATTTCAGATAATATATAATATTACTTACAATATTATTTTAGATTCTTCATTATATGTTTCATTAATAGCATTTCTAAGCAATGAAATAAATAGATTCAATAAATAAATGGTAGTAAAAAATGAAAATATAACTAATAAAATCGCTAAAGCCAAATTATTTTTGTAAACCCATGAGAAACTGCACTTGTATCTCCTAAAAAAATAAAACCAAAATAAGGTTATTTTTTGATATATACTATATATTTTTTATTATTATTATTATGTAATACCTGTTAGCATAAAATATGGTGCTAAAATAGAAGTGCTAAACCAAGTAAATAGATTTGTATTATCATCAGGAGTTTCGATAAGTAAAGAATCACCAATAGTACCATTAGAAGAAATAAATTTATAAGTTGAAACAAGATTCCAGGGATTATTAACATCATCCGTATAACTTGGTTGGTCATAAAAATAATCACTAGTAGGTCTTAACAAAAGATACAAATTTGCTGAGCTACTCCAATCATAATGACAAATTATTTTCCAAAATAGTCCAAAGGACGGAAAAATAATAAGAATTTAATTTCAAGCAAAAAAGCAGCAATAGTTATAATCCTAGTTGGTGGTGTTTTATCATGTATCCATATAAATGATGTTATTGTTGGAAAAAGTATTGCGAAAAGATCTAAAAATACAATTAAATTTTAATAATTACATATAATATATATGTATAATACCATATATAAAAAAATCAAGAGTTAAATATATACCAAACCAATTCCAAGGACTAGTAATATAATATAATGGTTTATGAATACATTGATGAGCTTCAGAAATTAAATGAATAAAACCAAAAAGGATAGTTACTTCCAAAAGAATCAATTGATTACTCCAAGAAATTTCAGAAATTATTAAAACAGTCAAAAAACAGCTCATAAAAATTAAATAAACATCTAAATAATAATATAATAATATTTTCCATAGGTGTTCTATTGAAATTAACAAGAGCTTTAATATTCTACCACTTATAATAATGAGGTGTGTCAAGTGAAGTAAATGCATTATCTTGTATATAGAATAATTCTTCAAAATAAGAGTAATTTTCGGGGGTATGTAGCAAAATTCAATAAAGGAAATATTAAGATTACAGTTTTTTGAGGATATTTGGAATAGTTTAGAAAATAATATAAGTAATCCAAATAAAAAGATGCAAAAATTTTATAAATTTTAGGCCATTTTTCTTCTATTCAAAAAAGCAAGCGATCAAAAGAAGAAGCAAAAGATAAAGATGAATAATTATGAAATCGACAATGTTCAAGATGAAGTAATCAAGAATTATCATTTATAGTTTTTTCATTATTATCTGAAATTAGTAAATTAATTTTAGATAAAAATTTTTCAGTAATTTTTAAATTTTTGTTATATTCTTCTAATTGTACTAGCGTAGAAGCAACTTGACTTATAAACAACTTAAAGTTATAAACATCACCACTCTTAAATGTTGACAAGCTATATTCAAAGCATTTATCAAGTGATTTCTGAATTCTATTATTATCTTTTCTATGAACTAATTGATTAAATATATCTTTTCCATAAAATTTTATTGTCAATTTATTGTTTATAAAAATATTAATATTATGGATAAATGGTGGTGGTAAAAATTTAAAATTTAACTTATCAATATTTTCAATAAAGGAAGTAAGAAGTCTCTTTACTGATTGTTGAACAGTTTCTGTTACATTTTCAAACCAATCTTATATTGTCTTAAGTTTATCAGTTTAGTGATAAATTAAACTAAGTGTTTTTTTTTCTAAATTTGCTGTATAAATTATTATTTCTAAAAAGCAAACCAATATAATATCACCATTTTCAAGCACTTTAGATTCTAAAATATATCTATTGTTGTCATCAGTGGGTACCCAAAAGGACATTTCACTTGTTGACTTCTTGTCAATGTTTGCTTTTATTTTGGTTTATAAATTTTTAAACCCGCAACCATAGTTATAATCCAGGTGTATAACTCACCATAGAGTAATTCTTTAGGTTTATCAGAATAATTTTGAGTTAAATCTTGATTTGAACTACAGTTTTTTAAAGTATCCTGGACAAATTGCTTAATTTCTTTTACATTGAAAAAAATACTGCTCACTGTTATATGATAATCTTTGAATCGATAATTTATTATGTTCACATTCTATAATAAAATCAGAGATAATATTAATTGGATAATCAAAATAATTATTGTATAGTGGAGAATATATATCTTGTAAGACAAAACTTTCTGGGTGCTTAAGTGTGTAAGGATTTAGTATATAGAGTTATAACTCTTTGTAGTTTCTTCTAAGCCAGAAAAAAAACAGTTGTTCTTCTTCTATAAAACAAAAATTGTGCCACTTATTCTCCTTAAATAAACCTTAATTATTAGATTAAATTCATTAAATAAAATTAATAATATGTATAACTATTTATACAGTATATGTTTATAGTATTGATGGTAAACCGGCAGTTTTTGCAGTGCTAAAACCAGCATTATGGGACCCAAAAATGTGACTAGAACCCAACTCAAGTTACTTCTTGAAATTGGCAAGAAATCAGGAGAAATGCACTCCCCTGCGAAGCCCTAAATAAACTAAGCCTGAAGCAGCCTCAGGAGTATGAAAGGATTAAAACAAATCGCAAAAGTATCAGAAAGATGCTATGATTGCATCTATGTTACAATTAATGCTTAAAGGGTCCTGGAACTATAACCCAGATGAGGCATAAGGAGAAAACCATGGGATAGCCACCTAGTTTAAACTGCTAACTAAGCATCACCCAAAAAGGCTTGATAAGGCAGTGACATTGCCAGGTAAAGTAAAACAAGTGAAGACAAATTGGGAAATTGTGTAGCCATGTGAGATGAATGTTTACATTCGTGTAAGTAAAGGCTTAATCATTTAAAGATCATCTAAAAAGTAGATGATATGATGTAATAAGGAGTTGTAGTTCTATTATTTTTTTTTTTGTCAATATATATTAATTTCTGTATAAATAGACTTGTAATTTACTTTGGTGAAAAAGCAGTTCAGTTCCGAAGAAAATAATAAAAAAATTTGATCCTGAATAAATAATAAAAGCTTTAACACTTTTGGTAGTGAACCTTCATTTTCATATAAAACCTCTAACAAATCAACTTCTAAAGCCTTTTCTCGCCAAATCTAAACTGCCTTACCCTTGTTGGTTTGTTGTGTAGTTTTTGTTAGTTTGTGTCTTTGAGTGGTGACTATCTAGACCACATATATCTAGTTTCGCCACTAACAATAGTTATCTTTATAAAATACTCACTACTTGCTACCATTGTATCTAATTCTGTCAAATAAACATTGATTAATATTTCATATTCTTTAGAATAAGTAGCTACTACTAAC